ACCATATTGCTTAGGGCAGATTGGAACCTTCCATCACTGGACAGAACTGCTCTAGACAGTTCTTCTCTATGACCTTGCCTTCATTATCTGGGCTACTTTCCTCAGACATTGACTCTTAGTCTTATAGTTACAGATTTGGAATCTTCCTTACCATCTGCATAGTCACATAAATCCTCACTGAGAATTTTGGGGAAAGATTATGTTGATGTATTTGTGTAACTTGTGCATAGAATGCTTATGAATTAGTCAGGATAAGCAATACCAGCTGCTAAGACAACCTCTAAATATTACTGGCTCCGCATGCAAAGATTTATTTCTTGCTCAGGTCTAGTCCTATGATCTTTGCAGTCATTCACTCTTCATCTAGGAGGGCCTCAAAGTTCCCAGTTGGGTCCTCTGCATCTAGCTGGCCACTCATGAAAACTGGGGAAGATTATTAAGGATGTTTTGAGACCAGGCCTGGAAGTGGCTGCATCACTTCTCACATTTCATTGATCAGACTTGGTCATATCAACCCACCAAACTACTAGAAAGGATATAAATGTAGTCTTTCTGAGTGCCAAGATAGAAAACCAAACAGAATGGTGAACACATTGTGCTATATCACAGCATGTAGAAAAATACATTCTATTCCCCAATGAACTATGTATGTGTAAAAACCCTTGTGAGTTGCATAGTATATATTTTACACACCTCATATAAGGAAGATAAAAAATTATCTGTAGCTCTTAAATGATTCGTTTCAGGTCATACAATGGAGGATAAGAGACAATGGACCTTGGAGTTGTTACAGGCCTGTGTTCAAATACTAACACTATTTTCAGCTTGAAAAGAATGCGCTATGTGATTTTAAGCCAGTTGCTTCAACTTGTGGTACCTTCAAAGGACTGTTGTGGTTTAAATGAGGCAATAAATGCTCCCACCAGCATAAATGTTCATGGCGAGAGGAGTTATGCACTTGTATACATGTGACATTGCAGCCTTTCCCCTGCATCCTATATTTGGTTCATGTGTACTTCCAAATCAAATTGTCTAAGGGCATAAGATGAGTTGACTAACATTTCTACATAATGACTGCAAAATGAAATATTTTTCCATGTTCATTATCTATTACAGGTTGAATTATGTCCCCCCAAAATACATATGCTGTACCTCATAATATGGCCTTATTTGGAAATAAGGTAGTTATTGAGGTAATTAGTCAAGATGAGATCATACCAAAACAGGGTGGGACCGTAACCTGATACAAAAGTTGCCCTTATAAAAAGAGGAAATTTGGAGGCACTTACACAGAGAGAATGCTGTGAACATCAAGACAGAGGTCACGGTGATGTGTCTACAAGACAAAGAACACCAAATGTTCCCTGCAAACCATCAGATGTGATGAGAGATGTACAGAGAAGATTCCTTCTTATAGCCCTTAGAAGGAACCACCTGCAGATATTTTGATTTTGAATCTCCATCCTCCAAAACCTGTGACATAATAAATCCTCTTGTTCAAGCCACCCAGTTTGTGATACTTTGTTATGGTAGTTCTAGCAAACTAATCCAAACAGTTGTTGGCTCAAAAATATACCATTTAGGGTGGCGCCTGTGGCTCAGTGAGTAGGGTGTGGGCCCCATATACCAAGGGTGGTGGGTTCAAACCCAGCCCCAGCCAAACTGCAACAAAAAATATCCAGGCATTGTGGTGGATGCCTGTAGTCTCAGCTACTTGGGAGGCTGAGGCAGGAGAATCGCCTAAGCTCAGAAGTTGGAGGTTGCTGTGAGCTATGACTCCACAGCACTCTACCAAGGGCAATAAAGTGAGACTCTGTCTCTAAAAAATATATACATATGTATATACACATACACCATTTAATAAACATATATATACCTTTTATATATATATGTATATGTATATATATACACCATTTAATAAAAAATTCCATGGTGTTTACATTTTAACATGTTAAGTTCTAATTTCAACATACTTCCCCAAATCAATTTTCCATTCATTAACTCAACTATTTTTGAGCTACAGAAAGAGCAATTTCATACAATACACTCTAATATCCATACAACTATTGGGCTGAGATGGCTTCCCTTGCTGTTTGCTTGATGGGTTATTAGGGACAGATATTTTGGACTAGACTTACTAATACTACAGAGATTGCCAGCTGTATGTCCTGGCCAAGTTCCTTAATTGCCCTGAACCTTTTTACTCCCTTATAAAACAAGGAGGTGAGGCTGGATTCCTTTTAACTTCTAGCTAATTAAATCTAGTCCTATAATTCTAGGACTTACAGCAGTGGTTCTCAACCTGTGGGTCATGACTCACAGGAACTATATTAAAGGACCACAGCATTAGGAAGGTTGAGAATCACTGATTTGCTGGAAGCCTTGACTATCTGGGAAGGCTCAGTGACCTACAGTCCAGTAGGTAAAAGCAGGGCTGATTACAGAAATCACCTCTGCTAATATAAGCGGATTAAAGGAAAATATTAAAAGAGAGTGCTCCAGCAAATTAAATATTCAAACTGAAGAATTTTGTACTTATTGATTTTTGTCACCATTTAAAATAGATAATTTTAGCATAAATAGAAATATTCCTTTTGTTTGCTATGTCTTATTGCTAATAAAAGGGTCCTACATCTGTATTTGTCATATGTCATTAATGAATCAACCACAGAATGCAAATTATAATTATTTTGAATTATCTACTTAATGCTTAATTATATTAAATTTCAGACTCTTCTGCACTGGCCTAATAAAAATTTGGGATGCTAAATGACTGCCTCGTCTGCTTACTCTGTGCAATTTGCTGAAAATAATTAATTATATCGTTTGGTTTTTTTTTCTTTCCCCTTAAAAAAACTAATCTGGGTAGGGAAGGGCCTGAATAAAATATCATAAATATTGAAATGCATTTTTTGGAGGACCAGGGTTCTAGTAGAATGTTGGATACCACTGAATCAATTTGGTATAATGATTTGATATAACAACTAAATAAAAGTCATATCAGTACTAACTTCAGGCCAGGGCAAGGTTTCTGTATTTTATAGGGCCTAGTCTGGCCCTTCTCTGGCCATGCCACTCCATATAAGGCAAGAAGGCCCCAGGCAGGACCAGGGGACATGCCCACTTGGAGCTTACATATACACACATACACCCTTCCAGAACATGTTCCAGGTACCCAGCACCCTAACATTCTCTGCTATAAAGGCTTCCAACACCTTCAAAGACCTCTTTCCTGGGTCTTTCCTTCAAGGGTGACAATCACTGGTGTGTTCAGTATTAGGCCAATAAACGGCTGAAGTGGGGATGTGGAAAGAGCTGGGACTAGTGGCTAAGAGTGGGCGGAGAAGCAGCAGGGCACACACATCCGTCCCAGTGTATGGGGCCTCTCCCAAAGGAAGACTGAGCCTGGGGTAGGAAATAGGATGGACTAAGGAAGGAGTAAGAGAACTAAATTCCACCCTGGTTTTTCAGGTTCTTAGGAAAAGCATGTTGGTCAAGGTAAGGAGGAGAACACACATTTTATCTACAACATCCCTTGGAGTTATAACTTGTTAATATTTAGGCAGATGGTATGGGGGCCTCCATTCATACTCTTGTTCTGGACCTAGCAAATGTGAACAGAATGTTGAGTATCATCATCTTTTTTATATTATTGACCTTTATTTATTTATTTATTTTTGAGACAGAGTCTCACTCTATCACCCTCAGTAGAGTGCTGTTGCATCACAGCTCACAGAAACCTTAAACTTTTGGGCTTAAGCAATTCTCTTGCCTCAGGGAATAAGGCACCTGGGATTACAGGCACCTGCAGCAACGCCTGGCTGTATTGCAGTTGTCATTGTTCAGCTGGCCTGGGCCAGGTTCAAACCCACCAGCCTGTGGCTGGCACCCTAACCATTGAGCTATAGGCGCCCCACCTATTTTTGACCTTTAAATGTTCCCTCTCTTTCTAATGATCAATTTCAGTTTGTCACACTTAGTAAGTGAAATTTAATTATGTAGGAAAAAAACCCAAAGAAGTGAAGACTAGAAGACAAAGGCAACTCTATAGTTTTTTTTCTGCCCTATGGGTTTTGGAATATGTTTGGCTTTCTTGAGGAAGCCTTTCTCCCATGTTGGTGGTGATGATGATAAAAATGGCTCTATTAAAAAAAAAAGGATGTGGCAGGCCCTCTTTTTAAACATTAACACATAATGTAATCCTGAACGAATCCTGCCTCAGTAGCCTCCCATTTTACACATGAAGAAACCTAGGCTTCAAGAAGGTGACTTGCACATGGTCACACAGGTGGGCAGTGCAAAAGGGGATCTGAACCTAGGCAGTCTGGCTCCAGAGTTCCTGCTAGAGGATTTTACAGAACATTTGAAGGATTGCTCATTCAAGCACAAATACTTTGCAGGCAACTAGTTAGCAACTTTTCCCTTGCGCCAACATAACGACATTGTCTCAATAAATAAATAAATATAAATGATAAACAAACATCCTTAGGTTCAGCATGGATTTTCACTTATGGCGTTGTTCCATTGCCACGGCTGAGCACAGCTGTTTAGTATTTGGGGTTGGTCTTTTTGGTGTTTTTTGAGTGGGTGTTGTTTTTGAGTGCTGGTAGGAGAACCAGCTTAGCCCAGTGCTTGGCACTCAGCACATCCTCGCAAGAAAGGAGGGAGGGAAAAAAGGAAGCGAGAGAGGCAAGAGGAAGAGAGAGAACGCACCTTGTAAAATTGATGCAGTTTGTGAGAGGAAAGGAAATGACGGAATGCAGGAAAAGTGGCAAAGACACCAAGCCCTCAGGCCCGCCAGGCCCGCCGGGCCCACCAAGCCCCGCCTGCCTGGCCACTTGCAAGCTGCCTTCGCCCGCCTGGCGTCAAGGTTGTCCCTCCGGCCTTCCACGGCGCCCCGCCCCCGTACGGCGCGGCGCCCGCCCACCACGGCGCCCCGCCCCTGCCCCGCCCCCTGCAGGAGGTCGTGAGCGGTGTTTACCCGCGGTGCATGGTGGGGCGGGCTCCTCGGACTCCGCGGCCCACCCGCTTCCCTGAGGAGGCGCGGCGGGGGTGCGGCGCTGACGCTGGCAGTATGAGCCATACCCCTGCCTATTCCGAGCACCTGGCGAGTCCCGACTACTACGAGAGGCTGGACCACCTCCGCGACGGGCTGCGGGACAGGTACGGCCACCAGGGGAGGGGGCAGGGAGTCGGCCGGCGCCGAGGGTTCCTTCTCTCTCCCGGTCGGTGGCTCCCCGGGGGCCTCGGCCCACTCGCGACGCTCCTCAACTCCCAGTGGGGCCTGGAGGACAGTTTACTAGAGACGCCCCCTGTGTTGGCTCCCCCGGAACAGCCGCTAAAGCCGGGCCTGCGGCTGGAGAATGCGGCCGCGTGGCTGAATTTGCCCTGAAGAGAAAGTGGGAGTTTTCCTGCCTGTCACTGTCGGTCAAGTCTTGTGAATTTCTCTGGTGCTTTTCTTCACTCTACTCCCCACTCTTCAAATTTTCAGCCCACCTTCACAGCTGCACTGCATCAGTAATGACAGGTCTTAGTACGGGAGGGTGGGAGAAAGAGAGTTTGTCGAATGTATGCCATATTTAAAAGCAGGAGACTTTTTGAGGGGGAGCTAGGGCTGGCTAGATTTCCTGAAAGAGAGGTTCAACTTCCAGAGGGTTCATAATGCTTTTGATTAAGACATGAAAGATGGAAACCACTAAAAACAACGAGTGCATAAAGAGAGAAAATTATAAATCAATTTACTATAAATAACCACATGAAGATAAGTTGTTAGATCTCTTATTTAGCTGCTAAATTAACTGGAGTTGAAAAATCTCATTAGTTGACAAGAAAGGAAATAGATTTTTGGATCCCTTGATAAAACGTTTAATGACTTAAAAGTTGCAGAATCATCTTGGTGAACAGGAGTGCTGTCTGTATGTGTGACAATTCTAAAATGGTAATAATTACTTGAAAGGTAAAAGCAGAAGTAAGTGATTTTTTAAAGTAAGCTAGATTTCATTTTTGTCAAATATTTATAGAGCATGTACAACAGGCTTCTTTAATTATCCTCATCATATTTTACCTCTTACTCCTTTTCTACATTTTATTTTCTGACATACCAATGCTCACTATGTCAGTGACTTCTTCGTCTCTAACTTAAAAAAAAAAAACAGTCTTCCTGTAGGCTTTTGTGTTCCAACCCATTCCCTAACTTTTGTGGCCCTCAGCATTCTTATAGCACTCTAGATGTTGACTTCCTTGGCTGGCTGGCTGTGTAAGGATGAGAATTCTAGGAGGGCAAAAACCATATCCAGCTAAATTTTTAGCTGGAAATAGAGTACCTGTGTTAAAGGAGGTGCTTAATAAATATTTGTTGAATGGAAGAAATCCCAAAGTCAACCTTGGTAATGTCTAGAAGTTATGAATGTCTTATGCAGAACCCAGTAACAACACATTGTCACTAAATAATGACCATTTTTCCAGTCAACCAGGAAAAATGAATCATGTCATAATTCCAAGATGGTGTTAAGTGTCTGCAAATACCTGATAATTTACAGATAAGACATGTGCCCTGTGCTTCTGTTTTCTTAAAGTGCATTCTGGGTCAGTGTTTGTTCGGTTCGAAGAGTGGCTTGATAACTCCAAGACTTTAGTTATTTGTGTCTCTTGACTTAGCCCAAGTCCTGATTTTAAAATGTTACTGTTTTAAATGATATTCTTTCTGAACCAAGTTAATTGTTGAGTTATTATTTTTGCTTTCTGTGTAAGGAACACCTGGCTGTTTATAGTCCTTATGGTACAATAACTGTGTAATGATTACATACTTTATGATTAACATTTATTGCTTTAATTATTAAACAAGGTGAAGCTGTTGAAATTGTGTAAGGAATCTGAATCAAATTTTATAGCCTATTCATGGTTCTGCATTTGTAGATTTGTTTTATTTTTTAAGTCAGTACAAATCTGTTGCTGTGTGTATTTATTTTAAGAATCCACAACTAACTCTAATTAATGCATATTACATAATTATAGAGGCAAATAATTTTACAGAGAAAAGTGAGTAGGAGCATGGAAACCTGGATTCTTCCTCGAATAATCGTGTGACCTTGAGGATGTTGTTTGACCTCTCTGAACCTTGGTTCTTCACCAGAATAGTTTTTGTTTTTCTCTCTACTAGAAATGAAGAGAGAAAATGGACCTTGAAGTAACAAACAAACGAACAAAAAACCCCAAAAAAGTTGAAAGCTATAGTTTTGCAAAGTAATATGTAAGGAATATTATTGTCTGTATTCAATTCAAGTGTTTGGTTATACCTTTAGAAAAATAATCCCAGTGACCACAGGAACCACTATCTCCTAAAATTCCAGAGTCATTTTAGAGATTGCAACCCTGTGTAGTCACAGCTGGTTTATCAATTTAGAACTTCTGGAAAGTGGGAGATTTATCATAAAAAACAAAACAAATAAACAAAAATAAAAAACCCTTAGCCTCTCTCAGTCTTTTTAGAAATGGTCATTGCAATGTCCGCTGGTCACATAACCAGGCCTTGCCATTGTAACCAGGGTAATTTTATAGTGTGAATGATTTTCTGTGTGAATACAGCACTTTTTATGTTCTGTGGTAACAGTCAGTGGAGTTACTTGTTAAAGCGTGTATAGCGCCCACAGGCGTGGTAGAAACATGTAAGTGAAACTGACTCTTACAATTATATAAAAACATCCTTTTAAAAGGCCCATTAACCAGTTCCAAAATTTTTTAACACCCATATTGATTCAGGGTGAGATATAATGGTCTAGAAATTGACACTGAGATATTACTTATATAAGGCTGAAGGTGGTAGAGAATTGTGGTATTGAGATAAAAACAATAACAAGTGGCTTAAAAGGAGAAAACTCAGTTATATCATGACCACCCAGCTGTGTACAACTTTGAAAGGTCCAGGTATAGGATGCAGGTGACTGGATGCATGGATTGTAGGTAAGCATCCCGGGGCTGGGCATTTCCAAGTTCTGAAATAGAGACTTGTAGGAATTGCTGGGTGATCCTACTAATAAGGTTTTCTCTAGCTTTTCATTAGTTATTAAATATCTGGTTTTAAGTCTTAAATTTAAAATAGTTATGAAGGACTTAGCATTCAGAGTCACTGCAGCATGGAGGAGGGTTTGGAAATGGGCCTGTCATGAAGAATTAACAAGATTAGTACCATTTTGCCTGAACAAGAAGGCCAAAAGGTGTTTGATTGTGGGGTTCTTTTCTTTGTATGAAGTGTTGGATTAAGAAATATGAGCAGTGGATGTCATCTATTGACAGAACAAAAAAGCTTTACATTCATTACTAAAAAGAACTGGCTGCTTGGGAGATGATGGATTTCCAAAGAGACAGTGATCATTATTCACTAGAGGTCCTAGATGAATTTTAAAAGTTATTTTTAAATTTTTTTAAAGTTATTTTAAATTAAGTTCCAGCTTACAGAAAAGTTGCAAATGCAGGATAATGACTTCCAATATTCCCCTCACACAGATTTCTCAGACATTTTATTACACTTATATTCTCTCTGTCTAAAATTATTAGTTTTTTCTGAACCATTGGAGAACTACAGATATGATGTGGCATCATTCCTAAAACTTCATTGCATATCTCCAAAAAGCAAGGATGTTCTTGTTCATAATCACTGTACAACCCTCCCTGTCAGGAATTCAGTCTTGATACACCAGTCCACACACAGCCATCAGATTTCAGCAGCTGTCTTGTTTAGGGTTTTCTTTTTTTGAGACATAGTCTCACTCAGTTGCCCTTGGGTAGAGTGCCCGGGCATCATAGCTCATAGCAACCTCAAAGTCTTGGGCTTAAGCAGCCCTCTTGCCTCAGCCTCCCAAGAAGCTGGGACTACAGGTACCTGCCACTGACACTGGGCTAGTTTTTTCTATTTTTACTAGAGACAGGGTCTCACTCTTGTTCAGTTCCTGATCCCAGCTCAGGTCTTGAACTCCTGAGCTCAAGGGATCCATGCGCCTCAGCCTCCTAAAGTGCTAGGATTACAGGTGTGAGCCACCATCTTAACAATATCTTTTTTTCTTTCTGGTCCAAGGTGTCATCTGGAACCCAGGTTGCATTTGGTTGCCATGTCTCTTCAGTCTCCCTCTGGAACAATTCCTCAGTCTTTTCCTGTCTTTTAGATTTCTGACAATTTCATAGTATAGCTTTCATACATGAATGTCCAACCTGCAGCCACATGCAGATTGAGGCCTGTTTTGCTTATATGTAGTGTTGGATATCATATTGCAGAAAGTATGCATGAACTTTTTTTTTTGCTCATTAGCCTTTGTTAGTGTTTGTGTATTTAATATGTAGCCCAACAAAACTCTTATTTTCCCAATGCATGGCAGAAGAGAAAAAAGGTTGGCCATACCTGTGAAGGAGACCCTCCAACTGAATCTGTCTGATGGTTCTTCATCCCCAGACTCCAGTCTTGGTTTCTTGTCAGGAATACCATAGAAATGAAGCATTAAATTGGGATACAGTGTCATAGTAAAAGGTCTTTCTATTCTCATAATTTAATGACAAAGCCCATACTATCCATTTATTCATTCTTCTGATCACCTAATTGGTCATTAAGCCTTAGAAGGGAAAAAAGTAACTTATAAAAATTTCTAACATGGGCTCAGCGCCTGTGGCTCAAGTGGCTAAGGCACCAGCCACATACACCTAAGCCCAGGCCCACCAAACAACAATGACGGCTGCAACCAAAAAATAGCTGGGCATTGTGGCAGGCGCTTGTGGTCCCAGCTACTTGGGAGGCAGAGGCAGGAGATTCGCTTGAGCCCAGGAGTTGCTGTGAGGTTGCTGTGAGCTGTGATGCCCTGGCACTCTACCCAGGGGGACAGCTTGAGGCTCTGCCTCAAAAAAAAAAAAAAAAAAAAATTTCTAACATGGAGGGCGGTGCCTGTGGCGGGTTCATATACCGAGGGTGGCGGGTTCAAACCCAGCCTTGGTCAAACTGCAGTAGAAAACTAGCTGGACGTTCTGGCAGATGCCTGTGGTCCCAGCTACTTGGGAGGCTGAGGCAAGAGAATCACCTAAGCCCAGGAGTTGGAGGTGGCTGTGAGCTGTGTGATGCCACGGAACTTTACCGAGAGCAATAAAGTGAGACTCTGTCTCTACAAAAAAAAAAAAAAATCTAATATGGAAGTAATCATATCATATTCCCTTCAGTTCTAAATTCAGTCTTTTTTTTTTTTGAGACAGAATCATACTACGTTGCCCTCAGTAGAGTGCTGTAGTGTCACAGCTCTCAGCAACCTCAAACTCCTGGGCTTAAGCGATTCTCTTCCCTCAGCCTCCCAAGTAGCTGGAACTACAGGTGTCTGCCACAACGCCCAGGTATTTTGTTGTGGTGGTTGTAGTTGTCATTGTTGTTTCAGCAGGCCTGGGCCGGTTTTGAACCCGCCAGCCCCAGTGTATGTGACCAGTGCTCTAATCACTGAGCATGGGTGCTGAGCCCTAATTCAGTCTTATTAATGAGAAAGTATCTATGTGAAGCTATTAGTTAAAAATGTGTATGTTTATTATTTTTTTCCTTTTTAACATAGACATACTCCACTAAGGAATAGGTCATATTCCCCCCAAAAGATTCTGTATTTGGATTTTGGACCCCATTTTTCCATTAAAAGAATTTTGGTTAAATGGGCTGGGGAATTCATGTGGAGGTCAGAGTGGAAGCAGGTGTGAGTGGGTCCAACAGAGGGAAAGATGGCTGCCAAAGTGTTTGAGTCCATTGGCAAGTTGGGCCCGGCCTTAGCCATTGCAGGAGGCGTGGTGAACTCTGCTTTGTATAATGTGGACGCTGGGCACAGAGCTGTCATCTTTGACCAAATCCACGGAGTGCAGGGCATTGTGGTAGGGACAGGGACTCACTGTCTCATCCCATGGGTACAGAAACCAATTATCTTTGACTGCCATTCTCAACCATGTAATGTGCCAGTCATCACTGGTAGCAAAGATTTACAGAAGGTCAACATCACACTGTGCATCCTCTTCCGGCCTGTGACAAGCAGCTTCCTCGAATCTTTACCAGCATTGGAGAGCGTGTGCTGCTGTCTATTACTACAGGGATCCTCAAGTCGGTGCTGGCTCGCTTTGATGCTGGAGAGCTAGTCACCCAGAGAGAGCTCGTCTCCAAGCAGGTGAGCAATGATGACCTCACGGAGCGAGCACAACCTTTGGGCTCATTCTGGATGACACTTCCTTGACACATCTGACCTTCAGGAAGGAGTTCACAGAAGTGGTGGAAGCCAAGCAGGTGGCTCAGCAGGAAGCAGAGAGGGCCAGGTTTGTGGTGGAAAAGGCTGAGCAGCAGAAAAAGGCAGCCATCATATCTGCTGAGGGCGACTCCAAGGCAGCAGGGCTGATTGCCAACTCCCTGGCCACTGCAGGTGATGGCCTAATTGAGCTCTGCAAGCTGGAGGCTGGAAAAGACATTGCATTGCAGCTGTTGAGCTCTGGGAACATCATCCTCTTGCCAGTGGGGCAGTTTGTGCTCCTCCAGCTGCCCCAGTGAGGGCCTGCCCTGCCTGTATGCGTCAGGCCACCTGGGCCACAGCCCTGATGATGATTCTGCCCCCACCCAGAAATCACTGTGAAATCTCATGATTGCCTCAAAGTGAAGGAAATAAAGTAAAATCACTTCAAAAAAACAACAAAAAAAAGAATTTTGGTTAAATGGTAGTTTCCACTTAACATGCTAAAGAAAGAAAACTTACTTGACTTATAATGTAGCTAACAATAACTTTTGGTAGAATTTTTTAGAAAGTTATCTGAAGGAAAACAGAAATTAATAAGAGCTCACAAATGGAATGTGAGGCCTTCTTGCTCAGGAAGCCAGCCCAAGATCACCATCTTTTGGAGTCCTACATTTGTTTCACAGTCTTTCCTTTAGTATCCTCTTAGAAGCAATGTGGTTTCTCTTTCATCCTTTACTAAGTATTAACTTAGATTAGCAATTTGGCTTCACTTAGGTGGGATCCAAGCAAATGGTAATGGTCAGATGAAACCCTCTGTGGTTAAGCCTCCCAAGGACTCTTCTTGGGACAGACCAGCTTCCATTCAGCACATTTATCCCACAGTCTCTTGGCTTTGGCTCCTGCTGCGGTTTTCCCTACCTCTTGCACAGCTTGGGTGTGGGATAAAACACCTTTCTCCTCTAGCTTACTGTTAGCACTCACCTGAGTATCACAGGTTAAGCAAGTCTTTACTAGTAGTAGCTTTAGGCAAATAGCAGTCAGTGACAAACAATGGCAACATTAGAAAGTTATAATTTTACAGCCAGTCCTTGAATTACAAATATCTGACTTACATACAACCTATACTTAAAAACGAAGGCTATTACAGTTAGTAAGTCAATGTACCTGTTTCAGCTTATATACAAAATCAGTTCTAAGAACAAGCCTACAGAACTATCTTATTCATAACCTCAGAACTCCCTGTACCCCAAATTTGAAGTGATAATGTTAGGAGATTTGATCTTCATCAATGTGAGGTCAGATTTATTTTTAGAGGCTTTTTTATTTTTTGACCGGGGCCAGGTTTGAACCCATCACCTCTGGTATGTGAAGCCAGTGCCCTACTAGCTTTGAGCCACAGGTGCCGCCCTAAAGGCTTTTTCTTAATTCATCCACTTGGCCTATGCCTGGCTTGTTTGGTTGGGAATAGAGCAAGCTTCGAGGCTTTAATCCAAGGTGGAGTTTTGGAAGCATTGTGTCCAGACCTGGTGGGATCCCTATTACTCAAATGTGACCCAGAAAAGTCTGGCCATATTACATTTTATATACTTGTTTATTGTCTGTCCTTCCCCCTGGAATGTCTGAGAACAGCAGTCTTGGCTGTCTTGTTTACTCTGTCAGTTTCCAGGCCTAGAACAGTGCCTGGCTGGGCGCTGGCTTTCAGGAAGTCCTCAATGAATAAACCTGCTTCCCAGCCTCTTCCTGTTGCATTTCCTGTTTACTTTGGGAAAAGATTCTTTTGCCTAATATTGGTGTTCATTTTGTTTTTTAGGCTTCCCTGGTAACTGATATTTTTGTTTCTTCGTTTCACATGACCTTGGTATTTTCTGCACCTTAGGGAAACTAAAGAAGCATTCTCAGAAACATGATTTTGAAGGACAGCATGGTCTAAATACAACTGCCTATTACTTTAAATAATGTAATTATTTAAAAAAATTTTTTTTTCTATATTATAGTGAAAAGAAGAGATTGGACCTGGAAAAGAAACTTTATGAGTATAATCAGTCTGATACATGCAGGTAAGAAATGACAGTGGTGACAGTTTCAAGCCAATTTTCATATATTAATCAAAAAGTTAACCCTAATATTGTATCATAAATACCATTATTGGGATACTTTTCCATTATCTTATGTTTAGTGTATAATAATTTTAAGTAAAAATCTGAATTTAATATTAATATCACTATCAAATTAAGAATAAATTTGGTTAAAATTATTATAGTACAAGATATTTTTATTGATATTTGTGTTATTTCAGTAATTTGTTTTGCTTAAATATCTTGCAGTAAGACACATTATAGTCTTATCTTTTTGGTCACAATTTAAACACATTGAGTTTGTGTAACAAGTCATTATTACTATAGCTGATCTTTCAACAAATTGCTGTAGGCAGGGTTAGCTGATATCTCATTTTTTCATGGATATATCAGAATGACGGTTAAACTTACTGTAAGCAGTGGGTAATGTACTGTACATGTTACTCTTTTTAGGATACTTGCCTTACTACTAAGAGAAGGCTTTTCATATCTTAATTTCTATTTTATAAAAACTGAACCTTATCCTTAAGCCGTATGGCATTACCTTCAAAGATTATTTATATGTGTATGAAGAATTTCTGGCTTTGTTAGTATTCGATTTGCACTTTATTCATGTTTTACTGTGAGTGAGAAATGAAAAGCTCTCATCCAAAAGAAAAAGAAGCCAAGAATACTTTAAAGCAAAATTACTTATCAGGTCCATTTATTTCCTTATCTTTAAAACTATTCTTTGGTTTTAAAATTTAAGGTATTTCCAACATTTCCAGTTAAGGTAGACAGCCATATGTCTCTAGCAACAATGAATGAGAGGGAAATATCTTGTTTTGTTTCTGGAAGAAATAGCAGCATTGTGGATGCCATGGCCTCTGGAGTAGGCCCAAGTCTGAGAGTATCCATGGCAGCTGCCATTTTTCTATCCCATGGCAAGAGGTGCAGAAAACAGGATGTAGAATTCTCATGCAGCCTGTTCTTAGACAGCTTCCTGGTATAATGGTGTTGGGAAGGGTGGGTATGAGAGAATAATGGGTACCTTTATTAATTTTGCTGAGTTGGAACTCAGAGAATATGATTTGCCAAGAATAGGCTCTCTCAGACTGTAGGATAAAACCAAAACTGTCTAACACTACTGCTGAAACCTGTATCCCCCAGAAGGCAGTCTGACATGGGGCCTGTGTGTAGGTGCTATGGTAGTTTATTTGAGAAAGTGAACACATTCAGCTATAGAGCAGGGCTGGGGAAAATGAGGTAGGAGCTGTTCCCTGTCGTGGGCATTGGGGGCTCGATCCCTGCAGACCTGCAGAGAAGCCTTCCAAGGAGCGGTGTAGGCACTTCTCCACATAAGTGTCTACCCAAGTGAAGGATGGGGGGATTGTATTCCTGCTGTCGTCTGACCCCCACTGGTATGGCAGCCCCACAGGGAGTTAACTCCTCACATCCAGGCTTTCCATGCTGCAAACTCAGAAAAGTAGCCCTGAGAAGGCAAGATGCCAAGTGCAGTGCAGGCAGAAGCAGATACTTAGAGCAGGTTGCTGTAGCTGTGGCTGGTGAAAGAAAGATGGGCCAGCGGGATGTGAGGGGGCATGAGAAGGATCTGATACGGCAGCCCACCAGACTCTTCATTTTCTGCTGCCTGTTTAATGTTTATCATCACTATCTCTTTTCAGCCTTCCCTTAAAATTCTGCACTGACACTTCAGCATCTTAGGCATGACAGAATCTTTTGTTATAGCGTAAGCATGTAGGCTCTGTTGCCAGGTGCCTCAATTCATTCTGAGCCTCACCACTCTTATTCCTGTGACCTTGTGAGGCAATTATTTCAAAATTCTATACCTTCATTTCTTCATCCATCTAATGGAATAATGATAATTATGAGAACTCCATGAATTTATACATACAGATCCTCAAAGCAGTGTCTGATGTACAGTAAGCGTCAATTATTACCTCTGTTTTTATCAATGTCTTTGTTCTTATGCCTTTGAACTTTCTGACATGCTATTTCCCTGGTCTGGAATGTTTTTCCCTCATCTTTTATTCTTGCATTCCCAACTTTGATTAACTCTTCTTCATCTTTCAGGTCTCAGCTAAAAAATTATTTTTACTGGGAAGGCCTTCCTGACCTCTTCAACTAGGTCAGATTGCCGAGTCCTTTTTAGATTCCCTCAGAGCATTCATCACGCTGTATTTACTTAATTGTTTGTTTTCCCTGTTGACCTTAGGTGAAAGCTTTCATATTCAGTGTGCTGAATATGTGAGTGATTTCATGGATAGATAAAGAACTTAACTTGTATGGCCAGCTTTGAAGGTTAATGTGGTCGCAGGAATGGAACTACAGTTTGGATACAGAAGGCATGTTGTACCTACTCTGAGTAGACACAGCTAGCAGCTTTATTAAGTGCTTGAGTGTGATAGACAATTTGTTAGGCTCTATGTCTACTACTGTTGCCTGTATTAGAAGTGCAGAGATGGGCAGCAATAAAATTAGTCTTAAATTTTTCGTTTAGGAAGAAAAATGGAGACAGTCAGCCATAGACAAAGCACAAAATTGTTAACATGATAAAGACTTACTTGAAAATTGTTGGGTTAGAAATTTTAAGGCCTGTTTTTGAGCAGTTTTGGACATCTCCAGCATTTTTGCGAATCTTTGTTTTGAGGACTATTTTTTGTGGTTTTTTAACCTATTTTTGCTTGACGGGAAAATATTAAACAATTTATTAAGCCAACAATAGTCATGCTGCGTAACAGATACTCCTTATGGGTTAAATGCTTGTAAAAAAGAAAGAGAATTAGCAGTGAGCTCTTAAGAAGAGAGAGCTGCACAACTTGACTACCCTGTACATCTTCTGAAATCCCTCTTAGGATGAGAGTCTCTAATCGTTTCTTACAGTATGAGTAGAGTTACAGACGTATTTAACAGATAATTTTTACGTAATCCAAATGAGTGCTTTTTTTGTGCTTTACATTTCAGATTTTCTTAATTTTATAGATTGTGATTTATAGTTTTATACAATTTCCATATGAGCAAATACTTTTGAAATTGTCATATGTAAGAATATTGATGGGCTATTTGTTTCAACATGGCCACGTAGACACTGTTATGAAGTCACATTTCATTTTGAGAAATAAACCCATATAAATCTTTATTGTGTGAATGGTATAAGGTAGCCTTGTATACATTTCTCAGGAGTTATGCCTCCATGTAGCCAGTGTGATAACTCAATGTTACTAATTAATTTTCTCTTCCCAAAAATGTATATACGTTCTGTACTTTGGGTTTCAGTGCTTTGGGAAAAATATCTTAGACTACATTGTCTCATTATCAATTTTGTCAAAGAAAATTCTCCTGCTTAGGTTTGTCAAAGTCTAATTCCATTGTTTAAAAATCTGCTTTTATTCTTCTAGAGTTAAGCTGAAATATGTGAAACTAAAGAAATACCTAAAGGAAATATGTGAATCTGAAAAGAAAGCTCGTATACGAAACCAAGAATATTTAAAGCGATTTGAGCGTGTCCAAGCTCATGTTGGACACTTTACCACAAATACAGAGAAGCTTCAAAAACTAAAGGTGACATCTTGTTTTGTATTTTGTTTTATTTTATTTTATTGTTTGTTTGCTTGCTTGCTTGTTTTTTGAGATGGAGTCTGATTATGTTGTTCAGGCTAGACTTGAACTCCTAGACTCAAGCAATCCTCCTGCATCAGCCTCCCAAGTAGCTGGGACTATAGGTGCATGCTACTATTCCTGGCTTATGTTACCTTTTTTTGCTAAAATTGGAACTAATAATTCTGTGAGTTTCAGATCAATGGTGGTCACTAATGTTTAGTTCATATAGTAAGATTAAATATCAACTTTCCCTGTGAATTATTGTATGGCTAAATTTGATCAGAGAACTTGAACTTGAAATTGCATTTTCTAAGTTCCCTTCTTTAGTTGAGGAATTAATGAATTATCTATAACAGGCAAAATCACTCACCATTGCTTGGCACAGTGTCTGACATACGGTATTTTTTGGCTGAAAGATTGAATTTGAGCAGCATTAGGGCTCACTCTAGAAACGGCTTCCCTCTTTAAAGGTTTCTTTTTCTGAGGCTCATTTGTCTGGTCAGGCAGTGCATTGGGAGAACAATGAGGGGGTAGAACTGTCCCTGAGGAGTTTGCTTTCATGCCCTGCAACCCAGAGTGACTGCTCTTTGTAGCCCTCTCTGGTTCTGACACATCCTTTCCCTTGCGATATTTGGCTACCTGCTGCTCCACTAGTTATGCCAAGGGTGAAGGGCCAGCAGCAAGGCCTTTTCCCTCACCATTTGCACTGTCAGGTGTTGTTGCCCAAGTTAACCCAACTGTTATGGGAGAAGTTGGCAGCAGCTTCCCCCCACCTTTTTTGTTCTAGTTGTTTTCTACCCAGCCTTTTCTTGTGAAATTTTCAAATACAGAGAAAAATTAACAATTGTTATAACAAACATATATTCTCCTTAGATGCAACAGTTGTAACTATTTTGCTGTATTTGCTACGTGTATGTAAATTTTTTCCATGAACCATTGGAAGTCTGCAGGCATCATGACACTTCTTACCTAAGCCACATAAGCATGGATCTCCTAAGCACAAGGACAGTCTTCCACATAATCATACTATTATCCCATCTAAGAAAATTAAAGACTGTCCCATAATATCATTTAATATCCAGCCCATATTCAGATTTCCCCAGTTCTCCAGTAAAGTAGTTTATTTTTCCAGACCAGGAGCCAACTAGAGTTCACATATTATTTGGTTTTATAGTTATTGGTTACTATGTCTTTTTTAGCCTCTTTTAGTTTCTTACCATTCCTCTTTTTTCAACGATATTGGCTGTTTTGAAAAAGACAAGTAAGTTGTTGTAGAATGAGCCACATTCTGAACTTGAGATGTCATTTAATTTGTGGAGCATCCCCCTTTGTTTCTTGTGAATGCAGTCTAGCTTACCACTGCCGATAGAACTTACTGTAGTAATAAAACTGTTCTGTATCCAGCTGGTACTGTCTTAATACCGTAGCCACTAGCCATACATGGTGATTGAGCAATTAAAAGGTTGCTTGTGACACTGAGAACTGTATTTTTAATTTTGTCAATTTTGATTAATTTAAATGCTAATAGCTGAGATTTTATTTTCAAGTGCATCCCATTTGGAGCCCGTGATGTCAGATAGCCCGGCTTGAGTGAGGCTGACTTTGATCCCTTGGTTAAGATGGTGATCTCGAGATGTCTCTATTATAATGCACCTTTTTCCCTCTTTGTAAATTAGATATTTATGGAGTGAAAGTTTGGCATTGGCATTGTATTCCTTGGTAGCCAAACCTAAAGATTTTAGGACCCATTGATGAGCTTTGCCTGAATTAGTTACAATATAGGTTGTAATTTTCTGTTTTATCTTCTATTAACTGTCTTTCTTCCCTAATAAAGAGTATTTTCCTTCTTTCCCTTTTTTCTGTCCTTTTTTTTT